CGGCACGAAAAGTGCAAAAACGCATAATCGCACCGGCCCGCCTGGTGCGTTCCAGCCTGGGTTAAAACCCATGAACTTGAACTAAATTAGCGCTGTAATTAGTAAGTGAGGCTAGGTACTTACTAATCACAGCGCTTCACGATTTTTTTTGGATAAGAATTCATTAATTTGGGATTGGAATACTTTTAATACATCTTCCTTTCGTCTTCACTAGTAAAGAAATCCCTCATTGATGAAGGGATTGGGGGGCCATTAATTTATTATCTCAGACTGTGTTACAGCATCGACAATTCTGTATTAAGCAACTGCGCAAAAACTTGTACCAATCAACGAACTGGATCGAGCGCTTCGTTTTAATCATCGCTATAGCATCATTCACATCCTGTAAATATTCGTTCGCGTTACTGGTGCGACAGCTAACACTGCAAATAATCGCAAGCATTTTATTTATTGCTTACGAATGAATTGTTTACGAATGAACGAGTGAACACAATCTCTGACAATTTATTTATTTTAAAAGGCCTCTTTACAAAATTTCCACAGATTATTTTATTTCTTGTAGAAATTTAAACATGGTTTTTGAAAATTGTGAATTTTAATGGTAAATTTCAAAACAAATCTAAAGCATTGCAAAAGAACAGCAATTTTTCTCAGCTACCAAGATAACTTCTCCTCCTCTCCCACCCCTCCCGCCCCCCCCTCCCAATTTTTTCTTGGTCACCAAAACAATTAGCAAGATAATTATGATGGTTTTGGTAAATGTTCAAGTTTTCTTTTTTCATTCTACTTCGATTGCCTCCTGAATATTTTACTATAACAGCTTGCACGATATTTCGTTCATTTCGAATCAAGTTTTGATATCCCCTGCTGACTTGGACCCGATGTGTAAGCAAGTATCCGTAAAGTCTAAATTTAACACCTGAATTTAACTTTAAAGAGCGTCGATTTCAAGTTGATAGGCAGATGCTGAAGCCGACTACGCAACTCTTTTACGTTTTCTGTTAACCGATAAATTCATACTAAACAATGTGAAAAAAAAAAAAAAAAAACATTTAGAAGGCTGCTAAGTGGGTCGAGATATATGCTAGGAACGGGCAATAATCAATATTCTCCACCTGATAACGGTCCTTGAGCATTCTTCATATCTTCTCCTGTTAGTCTTGCAGTAACTATAGCCCCCTGCCGTTTCTCATTAAAAACTGTGGTTGATACTAATTTGCATATAGCGCTGTCTTATCTTGATTGATTATAAGAATGATAAAAACTCTACCTTCGGCACAACATCACCCCTGAAAAGCATACAACAAGCCATAAATTTGCCACGGCGCGGATCGCAATTAACCATCTGATTTCCAGGTTCAAAGCACTGATTCGTTATATCAGATACTGTTAACGATTCATGATACGCTCGATCACTGAAACAAACTAAAGTTTAAAATCAGTGTAACCCACCATATGCAATCGGCTTTCAAATGGATGGCTCATTTAAAACTCTAATTTAGTTCTTCAAATTACCTTAGATTTAACTCAGTGAAGTAAGTCATTCTGATTAGAAGTCAGAAATTTGATAAAGAAACCTGGAAATAATTGGAGCGTAGGTGACTAGCGGAAAATGTATCCGGGGATATGGCACTAAATTTGTCTGAAATTCTGCCAAATCAACGTTCAACGCGCCATCAAAGCGTAGCGATGCTGTTATCGAGGATACAACTTGTGCGATTAGCCGGTTCAAATTGGTATAAGTTGGCCTAAATACAAACGTGCACAATGCATTTTTTTTGGCAGTTTAAGGACCTAATATCCGAATTTTTTAAGCTTTCGATTAAAGGAACTTCTTACGAAGCAGAAAAATCCAGAATTTCTACTTTTCATATGTCCTTGACGATAATGTAACTGATGCAGCGTTACTGAATTACGAAACAGCAAAAAAAAATCCAAAAGCTTTGCTCAATGCGCTTTGTTCAGTGCAATTGCTCCGTTTTAACAGTTTTGGCTCTTTTAAAGTAAGGGAGTCAAAAAAAAAA